CACACACACACACACACACACACACACACACACACACACACACACAGTCTCCATCTGTAGATATCTCATCCATCTAACAGCAGTCTAGCGTCAGTGTGGTTTACATTTAGTTTCACTTACAGTAAATAAATGCGTGTGGTGTTGCTAAAATGTCTGGCTTGTATGTCAGATACAAATCAGCAAATGCAGACAGCATGTCAGTATTTTTTGGCATGTTTTCTCGTCCAGTTGTTTTTAAAATAAAAGGTGTAGTATGCTGAAATTAAATAAATATGCTTCAAACCTCTAGGAAATATAAATCGTTTTTCTTTGAGAAAAACAACTTAAACATCAATGTTAGTGTTTAAATAATCTTTTTTTATATTTAATTTTAACTGTAATATTTAATATTAAAATTGCAATATTACAATTACTATAAATGTTAATAGTACAATATTTATTAAACGTATACATAATATATTTTATCATAAACAGCAAAAAACTAAGTACATCATATGCTTCTAGATGCACAAGTTAATGTTGTCATTTTCCTACAAACAAAGAACTACAATAAATCAATTACTATAATATTTAATAGTACGATATTTATTTATAAATATAAGTAATAAAATATTTTATCATAGTAAAATAATGAATTTTTAAAGATTATCATTACAGTTTATGATAGTTGCACTCATAATTTAATAATTAAGATATGCATAAAAGTAGCTGGGTAAAGGACAGAACTACAAGAAATCAGTTACTTTAATATTTAATACTAATGCATTTAATTATAAGGAAATAAATAAATACAATATTTGAATAAAAAATTACAAATTAAATTAACTTTTTTTTTTATATTTCAAAGATTACAATAACAGCTTGTTTAATCTAATTCATCATTTACTAATCTTGAATATAACATTTAAAATTCTAATCTAAAAATAGCTATGTATATAGCTATATATGTTTGTGGATGCACAAGTAAATTTCAGTTTTCCCTTACAAGAACAGAACTACAACCCAGAATGTTTGAAAAAATAATATACAATTATATCATCAGACACTTTAAATAGACTAAATGTGTTTAGTTAGTTAGTGAGGAACATTTAATCCAATTAACTAGGATTTAACACACTGATTCATATAGCATCAAAGAAACATACAAAAAATTGCAAAGAAATTAAACTAAAAAGAAAAGCAATTAAATAAGTGAAGTGAGTCAGTTCTGTCTGTCAGACGTATTGACTCTTCCAGTACGAGTCAGAAGAGGGTGTCCGTTCCAACATGCTCACTCCCGCTTTGTCCTTTTCCACCAGGATGTATGGCTTGTCCTCCTCCTCCTCGTCCTTCCTCTGACGGCTGCCGTAGCGGCACAGCAGCATCACCCCTGCGACCAGGAGGAACATGAACGTGGCAAAGCCCAGATACAGCGCCTGTCCGATCTCCCGCTTGAGCGACTCCAGCACCATGGGGTTGTAAAAGTCTCGGACGATGGAGTGAGTCGACCAGCTGATGGGAAGGAGAGCGGCGAGGCCGGCGACCACGAACAGACACCCGCCCACCAGCAGCACCACGTTCTTACCCCAGACGTCGTCATGGCAACAGTCCGTGCCCCTCATCCCGCAGACAGACACCAGGACGGCCTGGACGGCGAGAGTGATGGAGGTGCACATGAGCCCGCGGGCCGCCTGGATGTCCGCCGGCAGGATGAGCAACGAGTCGTAGACTTTGCATTGCATGCTGATGTCCGCGTGCCGTATGCATGCCATCCATAACCCCTCCCACAGCGTCTCCATGACAATGATGTTGGGCCCGATGTACGCCGTCACCTTCCACATGGGCATGGCGGTCACCGCGATGGTCCCCACCAGACCGATGGTGCCCAGAACCAGAGCCAAGATCTCCAGCTTAGCCCTCATGACGGCAGCGGCCGAGAGCAGAAGTGATGTGAAAGTGATGTGAAACAGTGGTGTGTAAATGTACACGGGTTATCTGACAGGAATGAGATAGGAGGGGTTTAGTCCATCAGTGCTATGCGGTAACACTGGTTTCTCAGAGCTGATGAAAAATGGACTTAGTTTTGTTTTTAAAGCAAGTTCATAACTTCAAGCATCTGTTAATATAGCAGTAACTGCTCTCGCTGGTTAAAAACATAACGGACTCCAAGCCAGTGACACCCGACTTGAGCTAAAGTAGTGGCAGCAATGTGACTATAAAATAATTCAAAATAAAATAATTAAAAAAATTAAAAAAATAAAATAAAATAAGACTATTTTAAATAAAAATAAAATAATTTGCAATATTTTAAATGATAAAAAAATTATAATAATATTTTTAAATAAATGTAATTTAATTTAAAATAATTTAAAAATAATAATTTTAAATAAAAAAAATAAAACAGCTAAATATTAAGATCAATATTTTCATTTGTCTTCTCAAACATTTTTACTTGGAAGTGGTTAGATGTTAAGGGTTTCTTGAAAAAATTTGGATATATGAGGGAATTTTAAATGTGTGATTTCTAGACCTGGGAAATTGATAAAAATCATTGGAAACACTTCACTTGACAAAACAAATTTTAATGCATTAATTATGCCTTGTAATGCACTGCATGATCTCCTGAATAATTTTAACCACATTTATAATACATTATAGTATTTATCTATTCCCTTATACAACTTTAGAAAGTGTATTTCATGAAAACACATAACAAACAACTGATTTTTAGATGTAACAAGGAACAAGGCAAATATTATAATGCATTTTAGCATTGGTTATACTTATTTATGAAAAGGTATAATGCATTATGATGTATATTATGAACAGTGTTGGGGAGTAACTAGTTACATGTAACGGAATTACGTAATTTAATTACAAAATAAAAGTAATTGTAATCAGTTACAGTTACTAAGAAAACATGTGTAATTAAATTACAGTTACTTATGAAAATGTTAAGGATTACAAAGGGGGTTACATCTGATTTTTTTCCACACACACTCCCACATACAGATTGAATTGAGTTCTTTCATAAGTTGCAGTGACTGCTCTAAAATATGAAACACCAATGTTTCAGAAGTTTATAGCATGCTTATTCGATAATAACATGCTTATCCGATAGGGTTTATGTATATGCTTTATTTTTTTAAGATCAACTGTTTTTTTTCTAAGGCATTGTTAGATTCCAGTGTTTCCGGTCATAGCTATGCAAAGATTTGATTTCAAAAACAGTATCATAGCTATTAAACTATTTCTTGTTATGATTTTAAATATGTATTTAACCTCAGAATGATTTTAAAGTAAGTCTGATTTTGTGGTGGCTGTGCTTCAAAGGGGACATCGGATGCCCATTTTCCACAAGTTGGTATGATTCTTTAGGGTATTTTTGAAATGGTCTCAGTGGTCGTGTAAAACAACACCCTTTTTACCTTGTCAAAAACAGCTCTGCTCACAGCGACTCGTTTCGGTGCATATCTCTTTACATGCTAATGAGCTCTGCTCACCCCGCACCTCTCTTCTGTGGAAGAGCAACCGCGATTCGCAAATAATCATAAAAAATAAAAAGTGTGTTGGCACCGATAGCCTTGTGGGCAGTGTGGCAACATACAGCGCCATTGTGCTTCGGGTGTCCCGTGTTAGAATCCTGACTATTCTCACAAGCACTTAGATGTTTAAGCACAACGTTTAAAAAAAAAGCACAGATTGTCGGAATGAAAAACATTTTTATTTAATTTCTGATCACAGAACAACTAGCTTCTCATTAAGCGCGATCTGAGCTTGAGTGAGGTTCGCCAGGTAGGTCACCATCAACAGATCC